GATTCGGTCGACCGCTGCGGTCGACCGCGAGACCTGCGCAGTCGACCGCCGCGGTCGACCGTCGATGTTTCTGGGCTGGGCTTTTGGTTTTCGACCCGATTCGTTTTGTAAGTTATATATATCCCTAAACCTGATTGTTTAGGGTAAGGTAAGGACGAATTTGAGCAGTCTTTGGGAGAGAGTTGTTGCATCCAATTGTGCGAGAGTTGTGAGAGATCAAGAGCATTGTTTTAGGGTTTGGTCTAAGAGATTTGTAACTTTACTTGTATTCTCTGATTTCTAATAGTAAGATCTCCCCCCTCCTTGCCCCGTGGACGTAGGCAACTTGCCGAACCACGTAAATCTCTTGTGTTAGTTGGTGATTGTGCTTGTTGATTTTGGTTGTGATCTCTCTTGTTTGGATTGTGTGATTCGAACGCTTCCACGCCGCGCACAACAGATGGTAAACTTTAACAGCAGATAGCAAGTATGCCTTGAAAGTTAAAAGTTTTATTTACCTGAGAACTTTTAAAGGGTTAATTTCACAAAACACACATGAGCTCGGGGAGTAATGCGATATTAACTTGAACTCTAAATTATGTCAACTTTCAATTAATTTGTATAAGAGAGTTTAACTGACTCTGATATAGTAAAAGTTAAACGTAACACTATGAGAAAGAATCAATAATTTAGTATCTAAAAAGAATTGCTACAAAATTTTCTTTTTCTAAAACTTATTGAAGACCATGTTGAGATTTGGATATAAAGGACAATGGGCTAATCATCAGAAAAATATAAAATTGAATAACTCTTAATAAAAAGTAATAAATTAGTTTGCCTTCTTATAGCTTAAGGATTAAGGTATACGTTTACATACTACAGAACTTATAAGTGCTTATATCATGTCAGATAAATCACACATTGGGAAATGTTAATTAGTCTCAAAACAATTCTAATTGAAAGATCAACAATCATGCCTACGTACGACGCACATGTACTATACTAGTAAAATTTTAATGGGCTACTAATACCTAGTGAGCTTATACAAATGGCCACAAATGTTTAGTGGGTTTGAGATAGGTTGAGGTGCGACTTTTTTTTTTTTTTTTTGGGGGGGGCGCGTGGCGGGCCGGGGCGCAATAGAAAACTGAAAACTCTAAGACACTTTATGTGCTACTTTACAAAAGTTAGGAGTGCAACTGCACCCCCAACTGGCCTATATATCCGCCCTTGCTCGCACGTGTATGCATCTTTCATGTCTCCATGCAGCTCCGTGTACTGATCAAAAGATGTGAAAACAAGGAATGTGTACCAAATAGATCAAAAGATCGAAGAACCCCCAGAAGCTTTCGGCCATCTCTGAGCAAAACAAGGAGCTTCTCTGTCAGTAAACAAGCTTATTTTAGGATTGTGATGCAGACCGCCAAATGGCAACAGGTGTAACTTGCAAGAATAGGAAGATACAGGAAAAACCATAGCAAGCTAGGATCAAAAGTTGCATGGACGCGCGGTTACAGCAGGACATTGATCCATTGTTCAGATTATGTTGAGTTTTCTCTGGATTAAACTTACATGAGTACGTTCATGTTACTCTCATCTAATATTCAGGTAATCGCAGTTTACATGGAAAGGTAAGCAAGCATGAATTCTTCACCATGACGAATTGAGACTGAAATAGGTGATGTTGGTAGCTAGAGTGTCCGTTCACAGGTCATGGTAAGATATCAGGAAAATGAATGCAAAAGGATTCAAAACACATCTATGTATAGGCTAAAATTATTCTACCCTGATTAGGTGCTAAATCTCATGAAGAGCTCCATACAGACCGTAATGATAAAGATGTGCTTATTGTCAAAATATGTGATTAGTTTTCACTTTGGTTTCAATTTATATATGTCCTGCGCTTTTGACGCAAAGTCTCTCCACGAGAGAGACAAGGCAGCAAAAGAATGTCAGAAAGAGAAAATTCCTTAAGGAGGTAGACTTGAGATTGGTCCCCAAAAAGTCCAAGATGGTTATAATCCTATTTCCATTGTATACCTTGAATAAAAGACCTTAAATCTAATATCTGATACTCCGAAATTGACATTTGAAGAATAAAATCCATTTCTTCAAGCTCTCCAGCCCAAAATTCCCCGGGGCGGGGGGGGGGGGGCGGAGGCGGTATGGACACTCCAATTACACCAAATACAATATTTAAATTCATAAGACACTCCATTAAAAAAAATTATTGGGTCCTAGTCCATAGGACCATATCCCAATCGAATCTTTATGCTAATATCGCATGAAGAGCATGTAGGTTCTGCCATAATTTTCAAAAAAAAGAAAAAGAAATTCAGAGTAATTCACTTGCAATCACCTGTAAAACCATCAAAACCATGACTTGATTAAAAAGCTCAAATCTTTCCTTGCTAATAGCAGAAAAAACTTAGTTCACCGACTGTTGAGTTTTTTTTTTTTTTTTTTGAGAAAAAGGATGTGATACCATAAAGATATCCCAGCCAGCTAAATAACAAAAGAGGTTGTTACATAATAGGTACACATCCCCAACCTAGAATATGTACCTTTGTTCAAGACCAACTACATACCAATGATACAAATAACCCATACTCTAACCACAAGTTAGAGAACAACCCAAAACTGACTAGAATGTCACAAAAAGGAGATATAGAAACTACTATAGTTTTTTAGCTCAAAAAACAACTATCACAAAATTTTTTATCAACAGGAATCATTCCAGCTGAATGACTACCCCTGAGCTTCTGTCATCATCTCCAGCAGCAACCTTGAGCCCCGCATCTAGCCTCAAACCAGCCATCTTCTTCCTCCTCCTTTCCTGCAATCTTGTGGTTCTGGCAGAAACCTTTTTCAGACCTAGCCAAAAGTTTGAGAAAATTATACAAGTGAAATATGAAAGCCATAGAAATTAAAACATCCGCTAATTCACATGCAATAACAAGATGCATTAGTAAACTGCAGTTATGACTTAAAATAAGAAAACAGAACAGTACAAATTTATATTAAAAAAATCGCATATATTCTACAAAGAAAGACAGAGAGAGATTACTGTCAAAATAACTCGCAAGAGAAGTAGAGAGAAAGACATCCTCCGGTGCCGAGAACGACGTTGAAAACCCTAACTCTTCTGGACTCTTGAAAAATCACCGAAGAGCGAATTATCCACCGGAAAATATTGAAGCTTTGGGGAAACCCTAGCTTAAAACCTGATCATCGCTGAAATTAGGGGGTTCTACTGCTTATCAATTTCTATTTTATGTGGGAATTATCATTTCCAACCATTTAATAAAGAATTAATATTCTCACTTAGGTGGGAATAAAATAATCAAATAATTTTCGATTATACCCTCCTTAAAAAGACACGAATAGATATAAATTCTCATATAAAAAATTATTTCTATAGAAATAATATCATTAGCTACTCGTACAAATATACAAATAGATGTAAAGTATTAAAATACTATTGTTTGTAAATCATCATCAAAACAAGAAGGCCAACAATCTCCCTCTTTTTGATAATGACAAACAATTTACAAAAATGATATATGCATGAAAGGAAAATGAATATACAAAGTATAAAATATCATGCATATAAACAAGAAGGAATATGCTCACAATATTTCTCCCCCTTTGACAACATCAAAAAGGGGGACGAAAGAATTAAGAGAGCGAAAGCTCTCCCTACAAATAAGCATGGGTGAGTATAAAACAAGTATAAGGATTGCCTCCCCTATCAAAATGCCTTAATGAATATATGCAATGAATGCTAAGGCATACATATGTGAGCAAGCATAGATGGAAAGTATGCTAAACACTCCTCACATACAAAAAGACAATAAAGACACATATAAATATGTCATTATGAAGATAGTGTCTCATTACACTAATATAAAAACCATGTATAAAATAGATTTATGAAATCAAAAGAAAAAGAGCATGAGAATCATGCAATATGTTTTCAAATGAAAACAAATCAATCAAATGAAATCATAAATCACAAGTAAATCATACAAGAACATAAAACCAAATCATAATTGATTTTCAAAAATCAAGAGAGGCAATTATATCTAGCTATTGAGCTAGTATCAACCCATGTAAATATTTTAGCATCCGGTAAACAAGATTTGGGAATAAACACCTAATAAATCTGGAGGGTTATATGAACACAAACCTCTCATCAAAACAAAACCAATAATCATGAAAACAAAAGAATTTGATCAATAAAAAAAAAATGTTTTCATGTTCAAAAGTTTAAAGTATAATTTTTCAAAAAAAAAAAACCACTAAAATTTTTGGTTTAAGAAAAATTATTTTGGCACCCAAGCATTCTTGGTGCCGCATTGGTTAGGGACATGACCCCTATCATTTAAGCTCAAAGCCCTAAGATTATGAACCCTCTTGGACATATGTGGTGCACAGGATCAGTCATAACAATAATTTCTCAAATGACCCTTCCGATTACAATATTTACAATAGAAAGGAATCATTTGCTTATGTTGACCATTAAAAGGTGAACGGGACTCATTTGCAAAAATAGATTGTTCTTTAAAATTATTTTGCAAATGGAAAACTCTCTTCAAATCAAAATAAAACTTGGTCAAATGATCAAATCTACCACAATGATCACACTTAAACTTTTGTGGTCTTTTAAAATCATTTGGCAAAAGTGAAGTCTTTTTCGAATCATAGCAAAATTTTGCTAAATGGCCAAAACGTCCACAAAGATCACATTTAAACAGATTAGCATGTTTATGATGTGCATGATAAGCATATGCATGTGTATGTGATGAAGAAGCTACATGAGATGCACAATGAGCATTAGCATTGTTATGTTTGTGTGCATCATAGCAAAATCTAGCAAGATAGCATTTACGATCGTAAATTGTGCATTTGTAGACTTTGCTATATATGCGTGCATAGTGAGTGGATGATGACTTAGACTTGACACACATATCTATAAGCCTCTTATGATTATTAATGCATGTTTTTAAAGTTGAATTTAAAGATGAAATGTATTTATTCATAAGATTCAAATCTTTATTTTTAGGCACATATGCATTTTTATTAGAAGTAGAACACAAATAGTCATTTATAAAAAAAACAGTATCATTTTGTATGTTCTCTACTTCTAACATGGCATTATCTCTTTCATAAGTTAAACTAGCAACATTTGAAGTTAAAGAAACATGATCCAATTTTAATTTTTTATTGTTTTCTTTAATGATCACATTTTCATTAGAAATAGTTTCAAACTTAGATGCTAACAACTCATGATCGGATTTCAAATCCTCATGCTTGCTTTTTAAATCAATAAAATCATTTTACAATTTCTTGTAGGCATGCAATAATCTTTCACTAGCACAAGCAAATTCATCATTAGGTAAATCATTAATAGATTCGAACTCGCAAACCTCACTAGGGCTATCGCCTAGTGCACGTGTGCATGGCGCTCCTTTTGAACTTGAAGCGGGATCCTCCATAGCTTGTCGGATCGCCTCCAAGTCCCCTTGATGCGCTTCTATAAATTTCCACAATGTATAAGCACTATCAAAAGAATCAAGCTTGTTAGACAATAATGAATTAAATGCATTTAATAAAAATTCTAACATAAGATTGTTCATAATAAACATCTTTTTATCATGTTTGCTCCACTTGGATTTCTCCAACGTGGGCACAATATAAGCACAGTCAATAACTTCCCATAAATCGATATTTTTAGATTGAACAAATAATTTGAATCTAAAACATCATTGAGCATAGGGGAAAACATTGAATTTAGGAGCAATACTAGAATCATAGCCTAAACAAGATGCATCATTCATATCCATAATAAGAAAATGTATGCAAGCAAGATACAAATAAAATCAAAACAAGATTAGCACAAAAAGATAACTTGGATCTTTAACTCAAGACGATTAGTCCTTAAATCAAAGAGCACCAAGCTCTGATACCAATTGTTAGACCCTAGAGGGGGGTGATTAGGGTCTTATGCTAATCTAATCCAATTTTATGCTAATTAAAATTAATTAACAAGTTTTCCTAGTAAGAATGAAATATAACAATATATATGAGCTAGGATGAGCAATATATATGAACTAATGAATATATCCTAGCAATAAGATATTACAAATATATGAGCAAGGATATATAAACAACACAAGGGTAATAATGTAAACAAATAGGTGAACAAACTAACTAATGTGACAAAGGCAATATGAGCAATGAGCACAAATATAAATGAACGCCAAAGCACACACAAACACAATTAAATGATCACGGAGTTCGGACCTTCCGTCCTACGTCTCCGCTCCCTACTCCCGGGAAGAAATCCACTAACACAACCGGGTTTTCTACGCTTACCCGAACAACGTTTACACCTCACACTCAAGTTTTCTAGCTAACCGAAAACTTTACAATCACCACTCTTGCAATCCCACTCTACACTCTCTCAAGTGTTGAACTAGACATGTCTCCCTCAAGTGCTCGGTTACAACCTCTCCCTAGGTTCGTCAACCGATGCCACTCCTCTTGGGACGATCCCCGACTCTCGCCATATACTTCTCTCGGTGTGCAAGTGTATTACAAAGTGAATCTCACAATAAGCACAATTACAATAAATGATTGTTCTCTAACATAGATGAGAACACAATGAAAGCTCACACTCAATTGTTACAACTCTCACCAACCCAAATATACTATGTATGAAAATACGATAAGCTCATGTGGGTGTGTGTAACAATGAGAGTAAATAAAATCAAATCTAAACTCAATATAAAAACTAGCTTTAAAGAAAGATAATCAAATAACTAAGCAAATGTAAAGCTAGATAAGAATTTAGAAAACTTCTCAATAGATCAAGTGGTGGAGGGAGAATAGTTGGAAGCTCAAACTTCAATAGATGATCTCCTCAAGCTCTTGTGGAATTGATTCACAAAACCGAAACACTCAAATGCTTAAAAGCTTATAAACACACTTTAAACAAACTTAAACCCTTGTTAAACTCTTGTTTAAAAACTTCTTAGATTGCTGAAATAGAAGGGGGTTTGGGGGTTTATATAGGAAGAGAAAACAACAGCAAAAACCCCATAGGAAAAGACCAAACAGCCCAAGAATCAGAAATCTGATTCTGTACCAAAAGAGCCGTTGGGATAAACGGCGGTCGACCGCGGAGCAACAAAAACATAAGGAAAATGCTCCAGAGACTTCCCGTGAGCAACAAAAAACAACAGAAAACTCCAGAGAGTTCGGCGGTCGACCGTGACGGTCGACCATGGGAAATCTCGAGCTCACGGTCGACCGTGGCGATCGACCGTGAAAGTCTCTGCTGCCCACTGATGAAAGAACTCAGGCGCGGTCGACTGTGAACTGATATATGAAAATCTAGGTTTTGAAAACAGTTTGCTGATTTTAAAATACTGTTTAAAAATATCAAATAAATTCTAAAAAATGTAAAACTTTGGGGAATGATTGTAGACATGATAATAAACATGCTACAATGACTGGTTTCGAAAAAGGACTTCCCAAGTAAAAAATATCATTATTTTACAAAATAGGCCAAAACATAAAAATGTAAACATGTGAATTTTGATTTTTTGGCTAAACCATGTTTTAAAACTTTGCACAATGATTATGTAGACTTAATAAAATATGTATATGATTATTGTTAAGTCCAAAAACTAAGAATACAATATTTTTACAAATACAATAGAAAATGAAACATATGAGTATGTATATGAAAATATATTTGTGTGTGTGTATATGATATTGAGCTTAAGGGACTTAACACACATAATATAAAACCTAAACTAAGTTACCCAAGCTAGATCTTGATCTTCAATAAGCTCGACTTGGTACACTTGCGGATGAAGCTTGAACTTGATCTTTAACTTTGAATTGCGTAGGTTTCACTCCACAATTCCGCTAACCTCCATTGGATATGATCGTTGTGGCGCAATCCATCCAACCTCCAATATATTATTTGCCTAGAATAAATATAAAACACAAACACTAGACAAACAATATTAGATGTAAATTGTTTGTAAATCATCATCAAAACAAGAAGGCCAACAGCACCCACTCTTCATCAAACTGGACTGAAAATATAGTCCCGCTTATGAGATCAGGAAAAGAGAATTCATCAGTTTCGCTAACATAATGGCTGAGCACATGCTCTAGTGCCCGTCGATCACGTGCTGGAGGTCCGAAGAATACATAGTGCTCAAAGTTACTGCCCTTGTAGGCATCCCAATGTCACTGCTTCAGTTTTGGTTGAAGTTTTTGCATGAAAGTACAATATGATCCAAGACAGGCACTAGGCCTTATATCACCTTCAGCCGCAACTTTTCTGCATAAACAACTATTTACTCTTAACAAGTCGTTCAACTGCAACTTAGGTAACAATTAACCATAAAGGCATTAACTTAGTCAAAATTACGTTTTATTAACATGAATAGCTAATAGCATTAACTTAGTCAAAATTACGTTTTATTAACATGAATAGCTAATACTTGACACTTATGCATAAACGTTAACAACAAACAAGATTTATTGACATGCATTGCAACTAGCTATCAACAAATGAGAATTATTTACATGCATTTGTTCCAAAACTAGCTATCAACAAATGAGAATTATTTACATGCATTTGTTCCAAACTGATAACACTTCGTATTGTTCAAATCTTACTCCAAAATTACGAAATTGGTTCTACATTACAATAACCAGTCTCTCACCACCATTTTATTCAAAAAAGAACCCATAAACCTCAATTAAAATCAAAATAACTCATTTAAACTAATTAAATTAAAAACCCCTCAATTGCTTGGGAACTTACTTCTTCTTTGAGATGGACACATCCTCCGGCGAGCATCTCCTCTTGCGTTCTCGAATATCCAGACTTTTCTTGCTCAATAGGGTTTTCGTCGCCTCGTTACTCTCCTCATCCTCAGAGGATGTCGGAGCAGAATTGCCGACGGGGGATATCAAGGCAGAGGCGGAGGCGGATAAGTTTGGCATTTCCTCCTGCGCCAATGGTGCCGACCGACGCCCGTGACGAACGTCCTGTTCTGTTTGAGTGTTGTCCACTTCATCCTTGCTACGCTTACGGTTCTTAGCCATTTCACTTAAATTTTTTTGAACATTTTCAAAATAGATTTCCTAGCCACTTGAGTGAAACTAGGGTTTTGAAAATGGGTTCGCAAGCTAATGGAGGTTTGCGGTGAAGAAGAGAGAGAGAGAGAGAGAGAGAGAGAGAGAGAGAGCCGGGCTGGGAGGAACGGGTATAAAGGGGTTTTTTGGTCTTATCGCCTCAACTTTTCTCTCAAAGTTTTCTTAGAAATGAAAAAAAAAACTGAATCATTATTAGGTTGAGTTTTGGCGGCTTTGTCACCCAAAAAAAAACATTTTCCCCATTTTTCTAATGAGTTTCCTGCACTCTCTTTTCCCGGCATAGTTCACATCCATACCCGATTGCATCCGACCCAACCCACTTGCAACCCCAGAATCATTCCGATACCGTCCAATCCCAAAAACCCCAGCTCTGAAAGCCCTAATCCCCACTTTATTTCTCTTTCTGTCCGAATCAAAGAAAAACGGCAGCGAAAGGTAAAGATCTCTTCACGGATCTGAACCCAAATTAATCTCAATTCGTCCACTAACCTCGTGATCATCGCCGTTAGGTAACGCCCAGAGCCATGCCGGACGTCCAAGCCCTCGTCAACGACTTTGTTCTCAAGCTCAAGCGCCGGTAACTCACCGTTCAATCGTTTCAATTTTTGGTGAATTTTTTGGTGAAATTAGGTTCTTTTTTTGTTGAATTTTTCATTTTTTTGGGTTCAGTAAGATCGAGGGCTCGCATGCAAGCGCGAGGCAGACAGCGGAGCTGCTGCGATCGGTGGTGTCGCATCAGCCGTACACGAACCAGGCGGCGGCGTTGATCTCTGCTGTTAAGGCCATTGGTCAGCAGCTCATTGCTGCTAATCCTGTTGGTAGGTGCTTCATTAGTTGTCTTTTGATTATTGTTTTAGTTTAGATTTGTTTCGATAAGTTTAGAAGAAAACTTGATTTTGTTTGGTTGGGTACGAAACAAGAAAAAAAAATGCATTGAGGCTTGTGAACATCGGCAGACGACGCATTGCAAGATTGAGGATTCTCGTGGACTATTTACAACAAATGATTAGTGTTTGTGGACAAAAGAGAAGGTACAGTTTTCTTGGTACCATCAGCTGCATGACTGAAATGAAACCTGCGGCGAAAAAATGATGGTATTCAAGATCATACTTCTTTATGATGCAGAGCGACACTAACGAGCAGCTTGACTGTCCTTTGGGGATTCTTGATCCTTGAAGAGATTTTTTGCGACTGAAACTAGGGACACAGTCGTGATTTGCCATTGTTTTTTTTTGGCTTGGTTGGTCTGTTTATATGTATAGGGAGCAACTGCTGAACGGGGTAGCATATTTGGGAAAAAGAGATGGTTTTCGCTCCTGCTGATTTGACTATGTTGCACCTGGTTATTAACCGGTCATAAAGCCTTCTTAACTGACTACAGAATAAAAAAAGAGGATAGAAATCCTAGAAGCCACACCCACGCATTGATGGTATGCAGTTTTAGCTCCTGCAATTAAGGAGAAATTCTCGAAATTTATCCTAGAACTAGAGTAGCAGAAAATGCAGATGCTAGATTTTCTACTAGGAATTACATTGATAGAAAAAGAAAATGCTAGATATGCTAAATTACATTGATAGAAACTTCAATGTGTTTCATCCCATGGAGGAGAAACCCCACATTTTTTTCTTAGATTGTTAAACCAGTAGTTAAATAATGATCTCTCTTTCCTATTTGTCTCATGGTCTAGATGCACAATCGCTAATAGGACCAACTCACCAGTTTGGTTTCGGTATCATGTTATATATGTTGAGCAACTTATTTTGCTCCATAATTCTAAAGGATGTACTCTGAATAATTGGTATCATGTATATTTTTATAGCCTTCATTAATAGAAACTAGATGTTTGTAATGTGATGGAATACTTCCTGCTGGTTCATATAAACAGATTGGTAATTGGCAAGACACATTGTTAAGCTTTCTTAATATATTCCGTCTGATCTGTTCAATGAAATTGGGATGCAGAACTTGCTGTTGGGAACGTTGTGAGGCGTGTTTTGCACATAATCAGAGAGGAAGATCTTTCTTCTACTGCAACTGCTATTGGAGGACTTAGCTTAGCTGTAGATAGTGACGACGATGATGAGACTGAACGTGGAGATCGTCCAGCGTTATCAGCTGCAGCTCTTGCTGGCCAGAAGCACCCTTCGGGCACCCTCTTTACAAACCCTTCTTGAAGATTTACCTGACTCTGCTGCTGTTCCTCACACTTCTTCATCTGGAGGTGATTCTGAGGGAAAGACCAAGTGTAAGTCCCCATAAGTTTTCTTTAATCACTGACTAGTGACTACTAGCTACAAATCTTTTTTGGTTTTATACGGAAGTAGTTCTGAATGTGTGTGTATGTTTTATTTTCAATTTCATGCATGTAGAAGGTTGGGTTAAGCATATGTGTGGTCAAGTTATAAGTTATAAGGAATCAATAAGATTAAGAATATTGATTATAAATGACTTATCTTTATGAACTTTGGTATTATATGTTACTCTTTTTCTTATGCAGCAGCTGACAAGAGTTCAAGAAGCAAGAAGCTAAAGAATGATGTTATCGAGGCTATCAATGAACTGATTCAAGACATTGATACTTGCCATGAACAAATTTCAGAACAAGCCATCGAGCATATTCATCAAAAGTACTATTTCTACGGCTCACCCACAAATATAGTTCACTCTCTTACTCTTTAACCCACATGTTCACGTTAAATCAAACTCTTCATCTTTTTTAAAATGCAAGATCTGGACTAATGTTTATTTTTAATATATTCATCAAAAGTATCTCTATGGCTTATCGATAACAATGTTCTCCCTCTCTCAAACTACTTGCCCCGACTCTATCACCCTCTCTTTAGTCTTTATCTTTCACATTAGTTAAGTTATATCGTTTGATCTTCATGAATTATGATACTGTGTGTTAAAATATTCTTTTAACTAGTTGTGCATTGTTTGGAATTTTTTAGCCTTGGCCTGATTATTCACCGGTTGAAGAGTTATAGTCAAAACTATTATCACTTGTAGTAATTCAACTATTATTGAATGTTGGAAATTCGGAATATAAGGACGTATATGCTTGTTGGCCATGGTAGATAAGTGATCGATCTCGAGAACTTTTCCCTTTTCCTTGTTTCAAAGTAGATGGGAAGATACATGTATAAGAGTATTAGGCCGATTTTTTTTGCACCTATCTTTACCATGAATATATATTTGAAACATGAGTATATAGATCTGGTAATTGCTTCATGTATGAATCATGACTTTTAAGAAAAATTGTGAGAAACGCACAAACAACTAATCATTAACTGTTATTTCCCAAGGTATCTTCACTTCTTCCCGAAATATTTTCTGTACTTGTGTCATGTATCCTGTGTATTGTGTTTTCCTAGACATGCTAAATAATCGCTTTTTTTTGGGTAGCGAGATGATATTAACCCTGGGTCGTTCAAGAACAGTGAAGGAGTTCCTCTGTGCAGCAAAAGATAAAAAAAGATCTTTTAGGGTGTTTGTCGCGGAGGGTGCCCCCAGGTTTGCTCAATGTTTGCACATTAGATAATGGCTTGATTATTTGTTTAATGCACTTAAATTTTTATTATGTTTCCTTCACAGTATTCTTTCCATAAGTTCTCCTTATAGTGCGAAATTGAGGTTGTCAGGTTTCAAGGGCATGTTCTTGCAAAAGAGCTGGTAGGAAAAGGTCTTCAAACCACTGTTATACCTGATTCTGCAGTCTTTGCGATGATTTCTAGGGTGAATATGGTACGTTAAACAATTATTCATCAGTTTACAAGATTTTCTATCAATTTCTGACTTGGAAATTTTAACTTATAGGTTATAGTCGGAGCTCATGCAATCATGGCTAATGGCGGAGTTATGGCACCTGTTGGTATTAATATGGTTGCACTTGCTGCTAAAAGGCATGCTGTACCTTTTGTTGTTGTTGCTGGTAGTCACAAGGTGTGCTGTTAATTTTCTGCTTTTTCTTGAGCAATGTTCATTGTCCTTATCTTTTGATTGAATGTCCATCATGGCTGAGATATGTGCCGTGGAATGGAAACTCAAAATACATTGTTTTTCCTTTGTTTACTTTGTAAAGGTTCCATGACGTCTCTAGGATAATTCTCCACAGTAGAGCTTCACTATGTACACTTCAAAGTTCATTTTTTCTGGCTTTTTAGCCTGTTGACCTTTTAAGTTCTACTTGCGCTTTCTTTGTTTTCAACACTATCTGGCATAATAGGTGCTTTGCTTGATATGGTGCTTGATATATGAAACAACAGTCACATTCAGATATCAGCCTGTGTGTTGGTTGGTGTTATTGGTTGCCACTAAACAAAGATCCACTCGATTACAGAGTTATGAACGTTGGATGTACCAAGTGATAATTTTGAGAACAAACACGATGTACGTAGTTACATTTGGAGCATGTCTGCTTTAACAAATCAAACGTTCTTGGTCTTCAGTTCTTAATCCCATTTAGCGAAGGAAATTGCACTGCATTTTGATTAATTTGTTCCCCGTCTAAACTTGTAACTAGCAGTTTTACTGCATCTTTTGCAATGCTGAATTCGACCATGTAGTACCATTATCTTCCACAAAAATACGTATCTTAAAAACCTGCATTGCTTTTAAAAGTTTTATTAATTAAAATAACACAATTTTAAATGACCTGAAGAAAGAAATTTTTTTAATCCCTGTGCTTATGACCTATGTGGTTTGTTTAATATTTTTCTAGCTAATGAAGAATAATCTATTTTTTTCTTCATAAAGTTAACATATAGTTTTACAAGGAAAAAACTTAGTAGATCAAAATTTCCTGTGGAAAGTTAATTAACCCTTTGACTCGGAGTTTATTGTGGGATACATGGTCTTGCATTCTATTTCTATCTCTGCTGCCAACAACATGTAAACCAGTTGAGTACCTAAAAGCATTAACGGAAGAAAGTCATGATTTCTTATTAGGGTAAAGTTTTCATTGTGTGCATCTCTCCACATTTTGTATTTGTGTATTTTTCTGGATGTATAGTTCCATATACATGTCTTCAATTTTGATTTCCCCCCCTTATTTGTATCTTCCATATTGCAGTTATGCCCCTTGTATCCACATAATCCAGAAGTTCTCCTGAATGATCTGAAGTCACCATCCGAGCTGCTGGATTTTGGGGAGTTTTCAGATTGTATGGATTTTGGTAGTATAGGTGGCTCTTCTCGTCTTCATGTCGTCAACCCCACATTTGATTATGTTCCGCCGAAACTTGTCAGTCTCTTCATCACTGACACGTGAGCTCTATATCTTTGTTTTGTCTAATATTCTTGCACGTGACAGTGGCATAGACACATCCTTTCTTCCTGTAGTTTCTTCTTTTTAAATCACAGCTCTCGATTCTCTTGTGAATATCTATGATGTTCCTTATTCTATTTGCGCTACTTCAATGTTAGTGGGAAATTGTATCACTTTTCTTGCAGACAACCCACAGATGGATACATTAATGCTGGTATCATATACTTTCAAATGTAACGAAAGTCGCGTAACTACTGTATCATGCATATTGATTGTAATTGTCATGATGTGGCACAGTCATGTCTGCAGCAAGCGAAATGATTTCTCCAATCTGAGCTAGGGTCATGGATTCAAGTAAAAGAAAATAAAAATAGAAAACAAATAAATAAATAATCCACACTTTAAGGGTAAGACTCTGTACATCCGATCCTTCCAGACCCTTCAATGGCAGGAGCCTGAACTGGTCCTGATTGATGTGTGAATGCAAAAGCCTTATCTTCGGATCGATCATCTATATCTCTTTCCCTTACCCTTGCCTCATTTGATAAATATCATGTATAGTTCCCTGTATACTTTTAGACCCTTCCTAAATTGATTACTTAAGATAATATATATAGTTGAGCCAAACACCTTCTCTCCTCCAATGCTTCCTTTTTTCTACAGTATCAGGACATTCCTTTGGTTTGTCTGTTTATGTTGATATCTCTTTTATTCTGTTGTTTTTTCAGTTCACTTGATGATTTTCCCTTTAATCCCTTTGACATTTTCCTGTTCGCTCTTTTCTTGTGCTCTCTTTTTTCAGTAGCTAATTGTCCTATCATCTTTTAAGTAATGCTTCATTTTGTCCTTGTAACTACCTGTAGCCTGTTAATTTTTCATTGTTCTAAATTTCTTTCTGCTGCTAGTCTGCTACTTAGAAAAAGTAGTCAATTACTCAAAAAAAAAAAAAAATCAATAACTCTAAACTCTGTATTTTGCATCTATAACTCAAAAATTGGCAGCTTTCAGTTTGCCAGCACTACTGGAACAAAACAAAACTATGGTTAAATATTCATTTCTGCATTCCTCAGATATCATGTTTATAGTCATGATAAGCAGCAGCTAGTGCTTATGCTTAACCAACACAACCTTCAATTTCTCAGTGAATACAGATGGACCACTGTTTTAAGGCACAAATGTCTCACGTCCAATATGTGCCTCAAGAAAGGGGGAAAACATATGGAGGCACATATATGAGGCAACCAGGGCCGTAAGGTGTAAGCTCAGCATGATGCACAAATAATCATTATACACCTTTTATGTGACGTACTTTCATGACCCAGATCCTGAATGAAAGTGTACTGTTGGTTAAAAGTTAAGGAATTAGATCATAAAATCATAGTGTCAGTACCTTTCGAGAGGCAAGTACATGACATCTACTTGATTTTCTTAGATTAGTTTTACTTTTTTATGATATTTATAAATTTTAAAATAAGAATAATGATAGTTCGTGAAGCTTATGCTTCACCTTTTTAGTGAAGCTTATGGGTGAAGCTTATGCCTCACCTTTTTAAGGGAGAGCCAATTTGCATCAACACTGAAATCGATGTTGGCAATATGGTCACTGATATTAGATATCTGATATTGATGTGATTTAAGGATGTGTATGATAGAGTAACAACTAGAGTAAGAACTAATGAAGGATAGACTAAACCATTTCCTATTACCATAGGTTTACACCAAGGGTCAACTTTAAGTCCTTATCTTTTTGCATTAGTTATGGACTAACTTATTAAGCGCATTCAGGATGAAATTCCATGGTGTATGTTATTTGCTGATGATATAGTATTAGTTGATGAAACTAGAAGAGACATTATTGCTAAAGTAGAAATATGAAGACAAGCTCTTGAGTCTAAAGGTTTTAGAATTAGTAGAACAAAAACAGAATATATGAAATGCATTTTTAGTAAAAATAGGAAAGAAAGAAAGCCTATGGTACATATTGATTGCCAAGAAATACCTAAAATTAATCATTTTCGCTAGTTAGGATTTATCATTAGGCATGATGGTGAGATAGAGGATGATGTTGTGCATCGAATCACATTGGTATGGTTGAAATGAATGAGTGCGTCGGGAGTCTTATGTGATCGTAGAATACCAATGAAACTAAAAAAAAATTCTATAGGACGGTTATAAGACCAACTATGCTTTATGGATCAGAATGTTGGGCAATTAAAAAACATGTTCAAAAAATAAGTGTAGCAAAAATGAGAATGTTACGATGGTCTTGTGAGTATACATTAAAAGATAGGATAAAAAATGAATGCATCCGTAATAAATTAGAGGTTGCTTTTATTAAGGATAAAATGAGAGAGAATAGATTAAAATGGTTTGGTCATGTACAAAGGAGACCTCTTAGTGCACCAATTAGAAAAAATGATAATATTAGAGTTAATGGGGATAGGAGATTAAGAGGTCGACCTAGAATGACTTGGTCAGAAACAATTAAGAAGGATATAATTAAGACTAACGTAACGGAGGAAATGACCGCAACAGAATGAAATGGAAAAATATGATTCATGTAGTTGACCCCAAACATATGGGATAAATGCTTGGTTGTTGTTGTTGTTGTTGTTGTTGTTGTTGTTGTTGTATTTGTTTGTAGTATACTTATCGCAAAGTATCCCTTCTCTGTTTATCATCAAAAAAGTCCAGTTTAAAGTTTGATTTATGTTAATGGTTTATCGTGTTGGTTTTTCTAATGCTCTTCAACCTTTTCTCCACAGGGGAGGACATAGTCCATCCTACATATATCGACTTATATCAGATTATTACTCTGCTGATGATTTTGCTGTGCAACGGGGATCAGCATCTTCAAAGTGAATCATATAGTTAAGAACACTAGCAGATATCTGGTATGTTAATTCTTCTTTGCCAATGTTGTTTTAGACAATTGTATACTTGATCATATTCACTTTCTTAATGCATGTGTTGTAAAAGAGATCTTCATTACATGTATCTATGTTTTCATGACTTTATGTCATCTGTCTAGCTCACCTCTAGCATGTCTGTAATGGCAGGGAACCTTGTAGCTAAAGCTCAGTATAGGCATGAGAAAGTTTTTGTACTGTACTGAAGGGATGCATCATTTTTGTCCAGTTTTGTCTAAGAATGCTGTATCAGTTGGATCAAGAGCTAAATTCTAAGGAGCTAAATCATCATCATATGCGCAAATTTCATTCATGGTGATTGTTTGGGAATTCAATTAGGTGCTGAAGCTGTGGGGTCTCTTGGCTCTTCTGAAAGACTGGGCTTCCAATATTTTAGAAGCTCAATGACTGAGGCACCGATACTATAATAATAGTTGTAATCATGTCATATCTTGATTATATACTATTTGCTGCCTTGTACACTGATTCCGTTGATGGTTGGAGATTACGATAGTGTTCTCTTTTCTTATCCAATGAAATATCTGATCGTTATATACTAAAATTTGCTGACAACAGCTGGATGCATGTATACTATTATTGGGTGTTCCCTTCAGCTTGGGAAAAATGAGCTACTAGCGCATATAAGTCGCTAATCTCCATATTAAGTGCTGAGCTTTAAGGAAGTTGTTAACGGATCTTGAAGTTATTTTTGTTCAATCTTGAACTTTGTTAGTTAACCAAAGCTCTGAAGTCTGTGGCTTCTCGAAGTGACATGGCTTTTTGGATAAGTAATGTTTTTGATCGAAGTGGAGAAGTCAAAGGTTCTTTTGTTGTGAAATAATTTCAGCTGTTTCCAGCAGGCATCAGGACCGGGTGAACCTGCGTTTTCATAGTCACAGAATCGAAGTGTTTATAAATCTCTATCACTGTTCCTCAAGGGTTGTTTATTTTAAGGGATCTCTTATTCATTTTCGTTTCTCAAGGGTTTATAAATCTCTTTCACTGTCAATCTAGTTTCTTGGACGTCCATTTCCTGCGCTATTTCCGCTTCTTTTCGCGAATATAGGAAGGTAACTTTCCTTTTTATTCTACTCACTATTACCGCTCCTGTAGGTGTAACCAATTTGCACCGAGTCGTTTCATGAGTAACACTTCATACCAAGTCATATGGAAACTGGCAACCCTTCCAAGCTCAAAAGGAAATTATGGATGATAATTGACTATATTACTGAAAAAATGTGCATATATGAGAGCCTATTACCATCAAACATCACTGAATATAACCAAAGCCGTTGACATGTTTACCGGGGTAAATCTCAAACCAGAGGCAAACGGATGTGAAGCCATTTCTTAAAAATGTAACCCACAACAAAATAAAAGGCTTTTCCGACTAATCTCTCCCCGTTACCAAAGTTTTTTTCCATTTCAACTTTCCACGATCCTCTCTTTTCAACACAGACGCACACACATATATAACCTACCGAGAGTCTTTCTACATCAACCATCACGGAATAGGAATTGGCGACAGAACTTGAAACGACTTCAAGAAATCGTTTTCTGGTAAATTCAGCGGGGGAAGCGAGAAGTGGCCGTAAGTGGAGCTCCCATTCCTCAGTTCCTGCATTGTAACCAGAGCTGCAACCGTGCTTCTGAAAATGCTCTGCTCTGCCGCAGCATTGGCTTGCATTTCTCCTCTCTCAGCTAGCTCTTCTGCAGCTGGGAATACCACTTCCATTGTGCTCTCGCACTCTTTTACCAGTTCTGAAATCATTTCGGTCATGAAAAAGGGTTGTTGTAGTACTTTTTCGATGAATGGAAGTCGGAGCAGGGCTCCAGTTCTTTTGTCGTACTTCTTCAAGATCTTGGCCAAGCCTGAAACAGTCATGTGTTATAATCCATATAGATATATGTGACAGAAGGTCTACTTGTGATGGAAAACTAGTGTTACAAATTTTAGTACAACTTGATAGACTAATCATTATTATTATTTGGGTGGGGTTTATTCACTTTGTAAAATTACATGATAAGGGTTCACTGTAGCTATTTGGTTGGTGCCGGATTGAAGAATCTAGTTTTTCTTGCTTGACTGGGCTTTGTTTTTCCGGGGGAAATGAATGACTTGGGGGTTACAACTGTGAGCTAAGTGATGAATTTGAATCCATCTATTACTCGACTAATAATATATATATGTGTGAGGTGCGCGAGCGTCATGTACTGATTTGACACCATTTATTGATTTGACACTAGATACTTGCGTATTTATGGAAAAGAACTTTAAGTTTGACTGTCTCATGCATTCAAACATGTGAACTACGTGACAAAGTTGGACTATATATGTTTTTTGGCAATAATAATTATGTTTTCTAATTAGGGATGTTATGTTATACTAATATTTTATTTGTCATAGACCAGACCTCCACCGCCATCCTCTCCCTCAAGTCTGCCCCTCCCCCCACCGCCCGCTCCGTCGTCCACCGCAGCCTCATCGCCGACCGCCATAACAGACGCCGCGGCACCGCCTCCACCCTAGACCAAGTCGATCGCCACTTCCAGTCAACGCCTTGCCTCCGACTCCGGCCCCTCTTCTCCGGCGACCTATCCTCCCCCCTTTCCTTTGTCTTCTGCCATTTGCCGCCCTGAACCATCGCATCTATTGATCTCAAATGGATAAAAAATAGAGATGCAGGCTAGCAATCATTAAAGTGCTTGCCTTGTATCTTCTCTGAGTTAATCAGTTAACCTCATTAGGATACTGTTAATCAAACTTTGTAAGTAATTTTTTGATGACTTCTTCTACAGCTCGAGGCTATCCAGTCTGAATAATTGTTTTGTCTGGACTTTGTGTACGGTTAGGGCAGGAATTAGGAAGTCAGCATAGGGGAGGATCAGGGCAAAGGCTCCTCCTACTGACGATTTATTGTTGTATGCTATTGCTGCTTGTGTGCTGCAGAAGAGGGAGTTGATAATTGCGAGAAGCAGCAGCATGGATGAGATCATGAGAGAATGCAATAGCTTGTCCGGGCAACTAGATTTCGGCATTTCGCTCCCTTCTCCTGTTGGGCAACAACATCACTGCCAATTTGGAGTCAGTTCGGAGAAAAAAATGTTTTTGTAATCCTGCTGGGTAAGATTATATTGAGTTAATACAGGCCCGGCCAATGTAATCAGATTATTCTCTTGATTTTTTATAATTTACGGAGGTAATATGAGTTGGGGCTTATAACTTGAAGAGTGATTGTGCAGTCTGAAGAATATTGTTGGTTCTTGCACTGCGGATGAAGTGCTAGCCTGATGTTGTAGGCTTGTAGCATGATGTTTTCAGATGCTTTGTATCATCAAATTCACATAACTTGTACATGAACTTGGTCAAATGGCAAGCTGTATTAAATTATGGTTCAATAAAGATCAAACCGCTTTGCAATGCCTGGTCTTTCTTTGGCTTCCTGGTAGCCAACTGAGTTTCATTGTGTTGCATTTAGTACACTTGTAGTATCATTGTTTAAGATAGAAACCTGGGTTGAATTTGTTTGACTAGATAGAAACATGGGTTTAATTTGTTTGACTATACTACCAATAATGTAAGAACATGCAGAGAACATACACTTCAACAAATAATTTGAGAGAGCCAAGTAAAACACAAACAAACTGCAGCGAAATACAAAAACAGGCTATTGAGAGATGCAGTTCTTATCAAAATCCTAAATTTTACAGAAGGCAAGCAAATAATTTGTACACGCTTCCAAAATGGAAAACCAGTTTATCAATCTGGGTAGAGGGAAAATAATTCAGAATTCTCAAGCAAATAAAAAATGTTGATGTCTTCAGACAAGAATTGAGTTTAGCCGGTGTACAATTCCCATAGCACCAAATTACTGAATAGGATACCTAAATGTTGTTCAACAAGATGCATACAACATATACACAATACAACACATACACCAGATACAACAATAGCATCTTGCTCTGTTACTACGAGCGCAGAGCTGCTTCTACGGTATTTTAAGAAGCATGGTAAAACTCAAAAGAAGAAGGAAGATCAATAATGTATGTACATCAAGAGGACCGTGCGTTATTTTTATCCTCACATGACTGCTTCATGGCTTTTGCAAGTGAAGGACGTCTGAAATGTGAATAGCTCTAAGGTTCGGGTCAAACTTTATGCTGTTAAGCTGCCCTGGATGCGTTTCAACCTTGGACGTACAACACGCAATTTATCCAAGCATGCAGCATGTATCTGCTCAACAAGGCACATATAGATTAGCGCAAAAGAGTTAAAACTCTAGAGGTCAAGTGGCTATATATATGTACTTGTACAGATGATATTATTACAAGAAACTTTATAAAAAAATGATCATCCCATGTGATAAATCTTGCACCGGTATCAATTAGAAAACAAAAAATAATGTGTACTGCTTTATAAAACAATAAAACACTTCATAGCTGACTATTCAAATATTAAAATAATAATTATGTAGTTGAAATCATTTCCAGAAAGGATGTGTGTCATGTTCTCAAAAGAAAAATATTATGCCTCATCCAAAATGAATTCCAGATGGAAAGAAATGTTACTTAACACCCTGATGAATCATCAATTATCTGAACTAGGTAAACCTCAATTGCATTTACATGTTTAATAGTTCATTAAATGTGTGCATGAAAATAGCTCCAAACTTTGTGACAGCCCCATGTTTTGAGGTTTAATTTAGGATCACGATACCCCCATCATGTGTTACTTCCAATGCCAGAAGATATGTTTACCAAGGTTTTTGAGATATAGGATGTATTCTGATGCTAAAGAAATCTCATTTTCTCATAAATTTTATCTTGATTTGGGATCCTTTGCCTCAAGTTTATATCAGTTTTACTAAGAGCAACCCCCCTTTTTCACCTTGAGTGGTCAAATGCTATTTTTGTGCCCGATTTCATCACTGGACAACTCCCTGGGTACTTCTGCCAGTTCTAGTTCTGTTTTTCATGTTGGTTCTTTCTGACTCTATGCCTATTCCTGCTTCAGTTAAACGTTGGGTGAAAATGAAAGGTCATAAACACAAGGGGCTGAAGAAATTTATTCAATGGTCACTTCTAATCACTTTCGGTCCTAAATTGTTGTGGTTGCCTTTTTTCAATAAGAACGGTTACATTTCTCTATGTTATTTGTGTTTGGACTCTAAGCATGCTGATCCAATCATATCAGAACTGCATGAAATTTACACTACCAATTAGCAAAAAAATCAGTTAGTGATAAAAATTCAGCAATGAAATTTACAAGGAAAATTATTAGCAAGGAAATTTACAAGGAAAATTATTAACATGAAAATTCAGCCAATTGTTGATGAGCGTCTTCTAAATCAGCTAGGAAATTTACAAGGAAAATTATTAGCATGAAAATTCAGAATATCAGGAAAATTATTAGCATCAAAATTCAGAATATACAAGGAAATTTACCAAGAAGATGGCGTGGGATTTCGCTGAGCTTGTCAATTTTCTTTCGAATTTTTTTAGCTTCCAAAAATGAGAGTTCCTGGAGGATGAAGATGAAGAAGACGAACCCTCGGTGACTGTGTGATCTGTTGGGGGAGGGGATCACGGGTTAAGAGAGAGAGAGAGAGAGAGAGAGAGAGAGAGAGAGAGAGAGAGAGAGATCCTGAGCTTGTCAATTTTCTTTTGAATTTTTTCATGAGCTGATTTGAGAGTTTCTGGAGGATGAAGATGAAGAAGAGGAGGCCCTCGGTTACTGTGAGATATTTTAGGGGATGGAATCACGGGTTGAGAGAGAGAGAGTTGGGGGATTGCAGTTAATTTGTTATCAGTATTTTAAACCATTCATTCTCACAAGTACAAATCCGACGAATCATAATGTTTTCGCACCTTAGTGTGCGAAAATTTTTCGCACCTGAATAATTCCCTATATATATATACACAAGTTTTGGTTCTTGGCTTTCAAGTTTAAATATGAAATAAATACACATTCATATATATATATATATATATAGGGACATTTTGGTAGAACCCTATTGTAAGTATCGAAAAAGTTAAAAAGAAGGCATAAAGTTTACATGCAAGATTCAAACATGTGACTAATAGTATATTCGTTCAAACATGTGAACTACAAGACAATTATGTTATACTAATATATATTCACCATATGTATATTGACTCGACATTATGTTATACTAATATATATTCGTCATATGTATATTGACTCTGACATTTTGGTAGAACCCTTCAATGAGCATGGAAAAAGTTAAAAAAAAGACATAAAGTTAACATGTTAGATTCAAACATGTGACTAACAAGACAAATTCATGTCTCTGTTGTCTGTTAACCTAAAATAATAATAATTGTTAGGCATTGAACCGACAATATCTATCAATCGCTTAATGTATTAAACAAACAATGTATATCAACAACTAAATGTATTGAACCAACAATGTATATCAACAACTAAATGCATTGACAGACATCCTTACCAAATCCTACATCAACAATTTAAATCTAGAAGTCAACACTTCATCTCTATACAATTCAAGAGAGAAAAGGAAAAGAAAATAAGAATCAACTAGAAATTAGGAAGGGAGAAAAAGATACCCGTATAATTAACACTGCTATAGTTCTCCAATAACACCATCTCTCCATGAAAATCAACAAGTTCCTTCCTTATCACAGCCATCTCCTCCTCTTCCTCCATTGACCCATTAATAACTCTCTGAATCCTCTCTTGCAACTCCTACACCAAACAAAAACAATCAAATTCATAATCAAGTTTCAATAAACGAGGCCAACATTAATTTAAGCGTTACCTTTTGCTTAATAATAAACTCTTCCTCTTGTTCTTCAAAGAACGAGTTAAGCTTATCAAGCTCTTCATCAAGCAACCTCACAAACTCAGCCTCAGCCTCAGCGGACGCCGGAGCGGCCGAGATTTGCCTAACTAACTTCTTGAGTTCTTTGTAGGACAGAAACTTGTCTCTCCATTGAGGAAGTGTTTCTTCTATTTGCTTCTTGAGTCTCTTACCAAACTTCATATTTTACTCCCTTTGGATATAATTCTTGATCTAAATCTAAATGAAGGATGTAATTACAATGTTGGGTAATTATAGTAGAGAGAGAAGAAGGCAAAGGGGAGGAAAAAATGGACATGTGAGGTAAGGAGGGGAATATGTGAAGGGATATGCTATGTTTTAGTCTTTTTAATGAAGAGAGAGATAACTAATTCTTAAGTATATTCCCTTGCTTCTCTACTGCTATTCCACCTTCCACCAGGATATCCTTTTCTAAGTATAATTTTGGACTTATCTATCAAAATGTAAGTTTTGGAAGAGTGCTATGTCTGAGGGTAATTTTGAAAGTATCTAATGTGATGGATAGCAAATTGAGGGGAAATATATATATATATAATATATATATATATATAGATATATATATACTATAGATAGTAATATAATAATAGTATATATATATATATATATATATAATATAGTATATATATATATATATTATATATACTATATATAATATTATATATATTATATTAGGGAGTGTTAAGTGTTAATAAATGAGTTAAAAAGTGATGCTTGAAGATTGCAGTGGATTGTATGCAACTTACCCTTTTTTATTGTTATCGTATATCAAACCAAATAACTAATAATGGATATCCAACACGGATTCCAGGTTAAGCTAAGGTTTAACCCAGTTTAATAATTTTGAGATTAATACAAATTTCCAAATATACTGGAAAGTCATATGCAAAATTAAAATGCAACAACGGTTTAGCATGCAAAAAAAAGAAGCTAAAATTGGAGGCAACATGAATAGGGCTCCAAAGGGATGATTCCAATGGATCTTCGAAAGGTAGGAGATTCCAAGGGTGATTCGGTCAAATGATAGGCACATTTCCATTGCCTTAGGTCATGGTTTTGGCACTAAAGAGTTATACTTTAGTTGATTCTTTAATAAGCCCAATCAAGCATTAGATTGATGTTGTAAATTAGGTGAGGGACGGTTAGTAAAGGACAATTAATAAATTGGTAACCCAAAGGAATTATTCTCGGCTTGATGCTTGGGCAAATAATTTTGTGTAAGAAACATTAAATTACTAAAATATCTTCGTATTAAAGGAGTATAATGTAAAGAGTAAAGACATGTTTGGATAGAAGGATAGATTGGAATATATATTTTAAAAATATGATTAACTAAAAAAAAGTATTATACCAAGTTAAAGAGGAACGATAGTTTTGGTAGGAGCTCAAGATTTGGAGTCAACCCAATCTAGCATATAATTTTAACATCAACGATAATGATTGTGTACCCAAAAAGGTCTAGTCAAGTTGGTAAACTGTCTATAGATAGTACACCAAGACCTCGTATTTGATTCTCTCTCATACGGAATTTATTCTCAAATCGCAACTTTTATAAATAGAAGAGATAAGAAAGCAAGCTCTCCACATTTAAAAATAGAAAATACATGCGTGTACCAAGACATCTTCTAAGAGTGATATCTCTGAAACCTTACAAAAAAAATAAAGTATTCTTCTTTAAACATTTTGATAAATGTCAAAAAGGTATGGCAATTCTTATGGAAATAAAACAATCTTAAAACGATCAGCTCGAGAGTAGTTCGTAAAGAGCACACGGAGAAAGACAAGGTCAAGTAAAAACATAGGATACTTCAAGCTAAAGAGGCTTATCACAGAGGCTCTACTTGCCAACATATGACAATCTCGTAACAAATAGCCGCTTCTATGTTTCACATAACCATAGCAAACTATACTATTTAATGTCTCAAATTGATTACATTTCATTTCTATTTCTATTGAGTACGAAACCGTGGCCCTAAGTTGCATGGAAACGGGCACGGGTACTGGTACTGGTACGGGTGTGGGTACGGGACACGACAAAACTGTAAAATGTAGGGTACGGGGACACGACTATATATATATATTGAATTAATACTGCACATAAGATAATTTTTTCCCCCTCATGTGTCATTAGAATTAAAATTCCGATCACATTCTTGAGTTTCTTTTATCATATTGATTATCATGAATTGTGAACTACTCATTTTTTACTAGACATCTAAACAACCCATTAACTATATATATAGTTTTAAACTTGGGTATGGACAAAAATGAATCCGACCCGTATCTCATTAGTTTCAAAAGGCGGATGTGAAGTGTATGCTCTACGTCTAGGAAGTCTTTGACAAGTGTTTTAAATTAACACATATATCGTATAATTGAGTACATGTTGTAATAAATGCATGCATATATTCAAGAAGTGTCCATGAAGTTTGGGTACGAGAAAGTATCGGGTACTTGTCCGGTACGGGTACGGCTTCATTATAAAAGTAACCGGGTAACATAGCCGTGGCCTCAAAAACTGTAGTAGTATATCGCGGGCAAAGACGATGTACTGTGAATATAAATCACATTTTTCTTGTAACGATGAAATCGAGGATTTTAAGAGCTAGTGGTTTTAGCATAGAATTTATAGGATATTTATAAAATGATGGCATATAACGTCAACTTTTTCAACTTTTATAACGGCTCAACAAGTTGAACTCTCTCAAAACGTATCGTAGACATAAATATAGGGGTGTCAATGATTAAATCTGGAATAAAACAGTAAAAGTTGATGTGCTGTAATTTTAAACTTTTTTAATTCACTGTTGTGCGTTTGTGAAACACTGATAAAGCAATATTTGGCCTACTCCGGTGCAAGGATCCCAATGTCAAATTGTTTTCAGGAACAACAGTACAGTACTCTAGCGTGCACCAACCAAGTACTGTCAAAATCTCCTAGATCTATAAGATCGGCAAAGATCTTCTCGATCTCAGAACCTTTCGGTTCAAAACCTTTTGGTTTCAGGGCAAGTTCTTGCGGGCACAAATTCAGCACCAGCAGCACAACAATAGCAACAACGTCAAGATCTCCTTGATCCGACGTTCGTATTCCAAGTTCTCTAGCAAACTACAAGAGCTGTCCAAGGGCACTATTTATAAGCCTCTAAGACCAGTTCAAGAGTCACCCTCAATTAATGTGACTGTTACAATTCACAATGATAATTATGATTGTAACATCAATGCATTTAATTGCTCTAAATACCATTGTAACTGCTGCATGCAGTAACTCCTGAATACGAGGCAATCAATGGACGCATTACTATAAAACGCGAGGGTCACGTCTCAGCAAATCAAACGAACATCGTTTGTAGGAAGAACCTCGTCGAATGGGCAAACCTCGTTGAATAGGCGAACCTCGTCAAACGAGCGAACCTCACCAAACATGCAAACCTCGTTTGACGAGCGAACCTCGGCGAACAGGTGAACATCGTTTGACGAGCGAACCTCGGCGAACGGGCGAACCTCGTTTGATGAGCGAACCTCGTTAAACGGGCGAACCTTGACAAACAGACGAACCTCGTCTGATCTTGTGAATCAGACGAACCTCGTCTGATTTTGAGAACATTAGGGTCACACCTTGTACGAATGCGTAGCTTGTCCACATGCTGCGAAGCAACCTGCGAGCAACCTTCATGGTGACCATAGTGGCAGCCAACGTGGAGCCACCTAGCCCCGATGTTTCCGTACGAAGTGCAAAGTGCGCCTAACAAAGTGTCACTTAGCGCCTCAGCCCGATTAGCCATGATCCCCGATCAATTGGCCCACGAACCACGAGCCCACGGCCTACAGCCCACAGCCCACGCCCACGACCCACTAGAACTTATGAGAGATTAATTAAAATAAAATACTTTTCGGCTTACTGTTGGCTAGCCTCGAACAGGAGACTTTTTGAAACACCAAACATTAACTTTCCACTAGGCTACTAAGCATTTATGAAAAGTACTTATAGTTAATATATATATATATAGTTTGAAAACTCATTTTGGAAAGTGGTTTTGACTAAAAATTCTAACAATCCCCTATAAGTTTTTAAACTAGTGTCGTGTTATGATGTTGTTGTTTCAATCGTTGTGCATAAGGTAGATGTCGCAAGGACTTGAATCCCTCTTAGACCAATTGAATAGAAGATAGATGCATGGTGTCCTAGAGACGTGAACCAGCACATGTCTAAAATCCAGCTATCACACAAGATCAAACTCATCTGTGGTAGTTTTCACTTTGAACCACACTTGCCTTGGCTTTGCACATTTATGACCCTGTGCATATCCTGGTTTCTGCTAGGGATCTAGGTATCTTTCCACAAGACCCCATAGGAGAAGGCCAAATCTTCACCCATGCATAGGTGAGTTATTTAGGCATGTTTCCTATCAAACATCCTTTATCTGAAATGCTTTAAACTTATTAATGCTTAAGAGACATCCTCTCTCATGATAGGATTCTAGATGAGTCTTTTAGGCGTGTTTCCTATCTAACACCCTGCATCCGAAATGCTTTGGACTCATCAAAACTTAACAACCAACCCCTTTACCATGATAGGATTTCACCTGTAAATCTTACTAGACTTTTGAACCAATCATCTTATTATTAGTAGCGTTAGCTTTGAATTGATAACTTAATGTAAATGGTAAGTGTTTGTAAGACTCACCAAACTTTACATATATTACTTGACTTTTGAACCAGTTATCTTATTATTAGTAGCGTAGGCTTTGAACTAATTATTTGACAAACATGATAAGTATTTGTAAGACTCACAAAACTTTGAGACACATTATAGCAGACATCCTTTCGACTATGTCTTTTTTTAGACTTTTAGTCAAAGGATCAGCCACATTCTTTGAAGACTGAATATCAATCACCGAGATGACTCCTTGGCAAATGAGTTCTCTCAAATAGCCATGCTTCAGATGAATGGTCCGCTTCTTTCTATTAAACGACGAGTTCGCTGCCACAACACTCATTGCCTGATTATCATAATAGATAGTAATTATGACTTGTAATTCTATCAATGGAAGGTCTCGGAGAATACAACTGAGCCTTTCAGCTTCATCTCCTACATCACGGAGTACGAAGAACTCAGATTCCATCGATGACTGTGCAATCATAGTTTGCTTCTTAGATTTCCACGAGATGGCAACTCCACCTATAGTGAAGACTAAACCTCCAGTAGATCTGCACTCATCTGATTCTGAGCACCAGCTCACATCTGAATAGCCTTTAATTACAGTCAGATATCCAGT